GTCGGGCGGCGGTCGGGCGGCGGTCGGGCGTTGGTCGGGGTACTTTTCGCCGGGGGACCCCCAGGGGCCGCCCCGCGCGCGCGAACTAGAAATACTGTTAATACTGTTAACCAGTTACCGGAGATCTTAGCACGCCCTGGCCCGTTGGGCCGGCGAATTTTTGTCGCCGGCTGTCAGGTTCGGGCCAGGGACCGAAACGTCGCAACTATTCGGCGGTGCGCCGTCGCCAAGCATCGGCTGGTGAACTCGCGTGTTCCCTGGGCCTTCCTGGCAACCAAGGTGGACGGCTGGCGACCCAGGTCTCTCTCGACAGCTTCCCGCAAGAACTGGCCTCGCTGGCCCCACGAGGCATGTCTGCTAGGGTCTCGGCGGAGGCTAGGGGGCGGCGGGATCTGCACAGGGCCTCGCGGGCGCCGCGCCGTTCGCCGCGCCGTCGCTCGACTCCCCCCCGGTCCTTGCCAGGCGAGATTTGGCTCATGTCGCTGGGGCCGAAGTATTACAGCCGTCCTCGCCCCGCCCCCTTCGGCCTCGGAGCCGAACCCGACCCCCCCGATGTGGGGCGCATCACAGGTGGACTCGGGAGTCTCGCCACGTGCTGGAGGGCTTGTGGGAGGTTTCCGAAGTGCGCGGGGTTCTCGATAGGCCGGCAGACTCCAAAGCCAGACGGGGGCACGCGTTCGTTGCACGGCCTCTACCTTTCCTTCGGGGCGATCTCCCGAGGCGCCCACCGCTCTGCCCCCCACGGAGCGCCAGGCGAGTTTGACCACGGTTGCGCGCCCCATCGCAGGAGAGAGAACGCCACTCTCGGAGCGCATGCGTTCTCCGAGCGTCTGCGCGCTGCTCGCGCGTGGCACGTGGCGGTCTCTGACGATGTGAAGACCGCGTTTGGGTGTTGTGCGCGCAGCCGCGTGGCTCAGGGGCTGCACGAGCATCTCCCTTCGGTGGGCGCCGATCTGCTCGCCGACTGGCGCGCCGCCCACATTCTGCGCATATATGGAATTTGTGAGCACACCACTCTCCGCCTCCAAAGCGGGGCCCCCATGGGGAATCCTGGCGCCCCGACGAGTGCCGGGTAGACTTTGCTCGGCCGTTACAGAAGTGGCTAGAAGGGCGCAAGGGCGCCATGCTTGCTGCTCATTGTTCGCTGTTCGACGTCGACGTTGATGTGTACGGAGGCCTCTTTAAATACGTGGGCGACCTGGCTTCTGTTTTGCCCCTGGCCCCCGGGGCCCTGGCGGAAGCTGTTGCGCGCGCCCAGGCCTCGCAGGCCCCCTTCGGCGCCCAGCTCGAAGCTTTTGGCCACCGCCAGAGCACACAAAAAAAGCAGGCCCTGGTCTCACGCCTCTGCGGGTACAACGCCAATCGCAAGTTTTATTCGGCTGGGGTTGGCGGCGCTAGCGTCGCCCCCCACGCGCGCTGTCTTGGCCCTCAGTTTTTGCCGTCGGGGGCGCTCTCGCACCAGATGCATTCGAGTAAACAAGCGGCCGACAGAGGATGGATTGCCCTTGAAGATCTGCGGCCTTCGGATGCCCCTTTTAAGGTAAAGAGATTAGTATTCGCATCTGCCGCGCAGGGCGCGCCGCTGTCTGGCCTCGCCCCGCGCCCCCTCGTGGAAGCCCAGGAAGCCCAATTGGACCTTGCGTTGCTAAGAAAAATAGTTGTATAGCGGCGGGCGCTATGTGCGATCAGTCGGGGGCCCACCCTAAGTCATATGACACTCGTAGAGTTTGGCCGACGATGAACCTCGTTCCGACCCACGTTGAGCTCCACATCCAGAGGCTCGGGCGGCGCCAGTCGATTGCGCGCTGGCCAGAAGACCGCCAGCAGGTCATTGCCCTGCTGTTCGGTAAGTTCGGTAAGTTCTGTTCGGCCGCCTGACCCCGCGCGCCAACGCTTTCGCCATCCGCTTTGTCACGGGCGCTCACCAGCTTAAGTTGCTCACAGATTTTGAGGACTGGCCGCGGTTTTTTTGGGGGAATCTGCATTACCTCGTCCACGACGATTACCTCAAGCACTTGTTTCTCTCGGCTGACGTTTCGGCCTTTCCGGCGATTTGGCGGTCTGGCAACGCTGAGCTCGGCGCGATTGATTACGGACACCCCCTGGAGGTTTACAAGAAAATTCGAACCTATCCGTCTCGGATTTCTTGGGTCCTGATGGTTGCGTCTTTGCGCGTGACTGCGCCGCCGACGACGGCGACGCTCGCGGCGCCACGCCCCCCTCGCTCGCCGCGCTCATCGCGCGCAAGACGCGCGCCATAGGAGGGTCGCACGGGGACTTCTCGTACTATGCCAGGCATGCGGTTGCCAACGAGTGCCCTGCATGTCGTTCGCCGTTCGCTTTTCAGAAGACTGCCGAGGTCCATCTACGCCGCGCGTTTCGCCGGGGATTCTGCGCTTCAGAGTCGGCTCATGCCGTGCGCCCAGTGGCGCCCCCCAAGCTTGTCTGCCCGGCCTGCAAGCTCGACACTTTCGCCGATTTGGCTCAGCCTCAGACGCGCACGCGTGAGCAACACTTCCCTCTCGCCCTTGTTCGATCTCCTGGGCGCGATGGCGGCCCCGAAGCGGCGCCTCCCCAAGCGGCCTGCCGACGGCGAGGCCGCAGGCGCCCCCTTCCTCGGCAAGGCCGCGCCGCCCCCGCCCAGGCAGGGCGGAGGCGCAGCCGCGGAGTCTGGGGGGCCGAGCGCCGCCGCAGCCAGCGGCCGGCAGGACAACGCCGCTCAAGACAAAGGAGACAAGAAGAATCGCAGCCGACACCTGGGCAAGGTCAAGGACATGGGCCTCGACAAGAAGCAAGCGGCCTTCATCAACGTGATGATCGAGCAGGTGCTGCACACCGCGTCGATGGCGCGGGACCTGTGGGCCGCGGGCGTGGACGCGTTCTTCGTGGACGCGGGCGCGCCAGAGGTGGTCGCAGCCAGCGAGTGCGGAGTGACATATTCACACGATGTCCGAGCCCGCGGGAAAGGCCACCAGCTCGGTCCTCCTCACCTTCAGATCCACGATGGGTTTCTCAGCAAGTTGCTCGAGCGTGGAGTGGCGATGGGGCAGCTGACGCGCGCGAGGCTCAAGCTCTGGCACGACAAAGTATGGGTGGAGCTGCAGTCCGAGGAGCTGCACGACATGCCGCGACTGTTCCGAGTGATGAAATGCTACGATCAGACCGAGCGCAAGATACACATCATGCTGAGAGACGCGCCGATGGACCAGCCCTCGCCAGGGTCTGACGGGCAACCGCCGCCTTCCCCCATGCAATTTCGCCGCCGGTTGCAGAAGGCGCTGGTCGAGGCAAGGGCGCGCAGGGCCTTGGGCGCGGCGCCGCCAGGCGCCACGGGGGAGATCATGCAAAACGCGGCGGGCGGAAAGGAGGCTAGCGCGTGATCGATGGCAAGTCCTGGCCTTTGGGGGTCAGGCTCATTTGTCGCGTTTTGCCGTGGCATTGCGGCTCGAATTGGCAAGTCCTGGCCTTCGGGGGCCAGGCTCCTTCGTCGCGTTTTGCCGTCGCACTGCGGCTCGGGATTCATGTCCTGGCCTTCGGGTGTCAGGTTCATTCGTCGCGTTTTGCTGCAGCTCGAACTGGCACTTGGCATGGCTTCTACGCCTCTCATGGTCAATTATGTTACTTGGGCGTGGGTTTGTTTCGTACCTGGTGCTGTTCACGGGCTGTCTCTACGAGCTCGCTGATTGCAATGACATCGGCCTAGCGCTGTGCTTCGTCGGGGACATGTCAACTTCGCAGATTACTCTGACATCGGCCTAGCGCTGTGCCTCGACGGGGGCGTCGTCGCGTCCATAGGTGACTGAGGTTTCCGACCAGGTGTGCGGCGTGCTCGTTTAGGCCGGCCGCTTTGTATCGCAGCGCTCGCTGCTGGGTGAGTCTCTGACTGATTAACCGCCGACCCTGGGGGGCCTCTTCGCTGCTTCTGCCGTTGCCCCCGCTCCCCTCTTTCGCCTCTCCTCATGCCGCCGCCTCTTGGCTCCTCTCGCCCGTCCTCGGCCCCTCGGGTGTTACTTGAACGGCCTTTTGAGGCCTTGCTGCCCCTCCCTGTCTGGGGTCCCGTTCTCATCCCATTCGTCGGTGCGCACGTCTCTGGGGCTCAGTTTCTCGGTCCGTCAGGGCCTGCTGGGCCCCGCTCGACTTCGTGGCATTATATTGTCGCCCGACGGGTGCACTCTCAGAGTTTCACGCTTTTGAGGATTTAAATCGCAACCCCTTGATGCAAACTCTTCGCTACATGTCTGCACGCTTACGCGTGCACTCTGAGCTCGGCCATCGCGGTCTTCCTTGCTGCCGCAGCCCGCCACGCTTAGTGAGAACATGGAGAGATGCGGCCCCAAAGTCGTGTCTAATCTAACTCCTCCTCCTCCTCCTCCTCCTCCTCCTCCTCCTCCTCCTCCTCCTCCTCCTCCTCCTTTACCTCCTTCTTCCAATATAAAGAGAGCTTGCGAGGGGCGAGGTGCCATCTCAGGAAGGCCACGGCCCCGGCTGGCCTGCACCCCCTTGCTGCGCGCCGCCGGCGCGTCGAGAACTGCCTCAAGCAGATCGACGCGTCTCAGGGTAGCATGGTCCGGCTCCGTAAATGCGAGCTCGATTTGCTGGGGCAGTACGAAATCTTGAAGAGGGAAACGCTACACAAGCATAAATGTTTGGAGGTCCGCGCGGATGTTTCGGATCGGCGCTGGACCCCCTTCCCTGGTGCCGCCAGGGGAGTCAGCGCCGATCCAGGAGTTACGCGCGGACCTCCGAACGCTCATGTTTGTGCTGCCTTCCCTTCCTCAGAATCGCCCGCGACCTGCTGAGCAGGGTCATCCGCAGCGGGAACCGCAGCCTCTTGAGGTCAAGCAGTGGCGAAGCGTCCCGGCTGGCTTAGACGCCCACCAAAGAATGCTCTAAGATTTGTTCCGTGGTCTGCAGGACATGTTATTAAAGCATGTTTAGTCGATAGTGTCTCGTTTTATTTCAAAAGGTCTACACTCTAAGATCATTGTTTCTGTCTTTGGAACAGCTCTGGGTTATAAGAGCATGTCGTGGTAGGCCTATACGAAAGCCGGGACGGCCAGTCCCTGCTCAGTGATCGACTAGACGCCAGAGTGACCTTTGGCTGGAGTGACCTCTGGTGCGGGCACAAATGGGCCCCCCGATCGCTGAACGCGAAGCGGCAGCAGCGGCTTGTGCGCTCAGGTTTGGCCACTCCGCGTCCCCCGTTAAGCCGCGCACCAAAGGTCACTTGTGCTTACAGCCGGGGCGCTGACTAAAGAACCCTTTTCGTTGGGGAGGGGCTCGGTGCTCCTTCATTGTTTTACAGTTTGCCCTGGATTTTCCTCAGGTCTTCCATGGGAAATCGAAGTTTCACTTATGGGAAAAGGGGGCCTCGTTCCTTACTTCGGGCTCCCTAGGCCCACGCCCCGACTGTAGGGCCACTCCTTGGCGTGTAGCCGACATGAGGGAGATCGCCGGCCCTGACTGCGGCCGCCCCGGCCGCCTGCGGGCCGCGCTGGCCGCCACCCGCCTCTCGGACATGAACGCCAGGGACCAGCGCTTCGCGACCTGCGACGGCGCCTGCGCCTCCTTCGAGGAGCGGCGGCGCGCCCGGGGGGGGGCGCAGGGGAGAGGGGGCAGGCCTTCTCTCTAGGCCGCAGTCGGGCGTGTCCCTCTACAGGAGGAATACCCAAAAATAGTCCAACACAAAGTTGGATGGGGACGATTGTTTTTAGCATGTTTGCTTATCTTGTATGCTTTGACCATTTTTATTTTTCGCCCAAAATCCGCATGCTGGGGGACATGCCCGACCTAACTCTGGGCCTCCCAGATGTGGTCCGAGCAGATGGGGTCGGAGGATCGCGCCGCATCGCCGATGCATCGCCGATGCGGCTCGACGTGGAGCCTGCTTTGCTTCACGTCGACGTCGCCGATGCATCGCCGACGTCGACGATGCATCGCTAGTGCATCGCCGATACGTCGCCGACGCATCCGCGGTGCGGCGCGATCTTCAGGCCCCATCTGCTCCGACCCCATCTGGGAGGCCTCAAGAGGCGGTGGGGCCTTCCCGGGAGCCCTCCGGCCATCCGAGAAGCCGTCCACGTTCTCGTCGAGGGCTCGGGAGGCTTCTCAGCCGGCAGGCCCTCCGGCCTTCCGACAAGCCGCCTCTGTCTTCGGAGAGGGCTTGAACAAAAACTTCTCGGGAGGCGGGAGGCCTCCCGAGCCTTCCTCCGAGAAGGCCCCTCCCCCTCTGCATGCCCGCCATGGGCTCGCCTCCTGCAAGGAGCTGACCCGCAGGGACCTCGGCGCCGGCGATCAGCTCGACAAGGCGACCAGCGAGTGCAAGCTGGAGCTGCTGGTCCGGCGCACCTCGGAGCTGCTGAACCCTGCGCGCGTGGAGAATTCGGACGACGAGGTCGCCCGGGCACCAGCTGTATGCACACTTGCACCTGTCCTCGAGGAGCAAAGGACGGCATAAACATCAACGTCCGGAGCTCCGCGCAGATCTCTTGGATCCGCGTTGCCCCCCCCCCCCCCCCCCCCCTTCCTCCTCTCCTCTCCTCTCTCCTCCCCTCCTCCTCCTCCTCCTCCCCTCCTCCTCCTCCTCCTCCTCCTCCTCCTCGTCCTCCACCTCGTCCTCGTCCTCGTCATCCTCCTCCTCCTCCTCCTCCTCCTCCTCGTCCTCCTCCTCCTCCTCCTCCTCCTCCTCCTTCCTCCTCCTCCTCCTCCTCCTCCTCCTCCTCCTCCTCCTATCCTTATTCCTTATTAGAATATACTCCTACTCCCCCCTCAGGCCGGCCATAGGGGCCGCATCCGGGTGGTCCCATCCTAACCTGTAAAAACAATACAAAATCAACATTTTTCTTATTTTTTCCTCTCGACATGGACGTCCTGTCGTCCACGGCGATAATCCATTGCAAAAAATACAACAAAGAACACACGCGCGCGTTCATGTCAGAATCCTACCGAACACCGTGTGTTTGCAAGCATTTCAACATAAAACATCAAAAACCCAATGTTTTTTTCACAAAAAAAAATGCAAATTTCCCGCCCGGGCTCTCTTGCTGAAATCATAGGAAAACCATAGGAATCTTAAGAATTCGGTCAAATCCAGCGATTTCACGTCATCGCGCGGTGCACTCGCGATGCTCTGTCATGCACCCAGGCCGCGAATCCTGTGCAAAAAATACCACAAAGAGCACACTCGCGCGTTCATGTCAGAATCCTACCGAACACCGTGTGTTTGCAAGCATTTCAACATAAAAACATCAAAAACCCAATGCTTTTTCACAAAATGCTTTGGGGTGTCCTGTCAGACCGTCGGGCTTCCTCCGGCCACCTCTGGCTTCCTGCGGTGTACCGGGCCATTCTCGACTCGTCTGGCAATGCGTGCGCGGCATTCAACACGCGCTCGCCAGTTCCCGTCGGCAACCGCCATCGCGGCCGCATCAGCTGTACCAAACCGGCTGGCCGGTGTGACTTCGGCCCCCAGTTGTGCCAGCTTTGCTTCTTATGTTGTGGGAGGGCGGGTGGGACTGGGCATGCCATGCTTGACTCGCTCGAGCTGGCTAGCTTGACTCCTACTCCTACTCCTACTCCTCCTTCTCTTCCTGTCGGCGCCTCTGGCGCCGCCCCTAGCGCGCTCCGCGCGCCAGGGAGGGAGGGAGGTCCAGCGCAGATCCAAGAAACACGCGCGGAGCTTCGCAAGCCGATGTTGAAGCCGCTCTTCGTTCCCGTGAGATCCTAGCCAGGCCGATCCCTTGCCCAGTATCGGTGTGTATGCTTGCCTGCCCACGCCAGGAGCGCGCACACACCTAATCCAAAAGCCGCATTAAAGTGATCATGTTGCCCCTCTGTGACTGAGGGGGTGCGTTTGGAGGCCCTCTGTGACAGAGTTGCTCGTCATCCCGTTCCTCCTCATCCTGCTTCTTGATTTCGGATATGTCATGCTACTACTGCGCTCATCATCTTTGCGTATGTGATCCTCGTCGTGTTTTTCCATGCGTCCTTTTCACAATTTCCACCACATTATCCTCCGTTGCCGTTCTGCCCCGCCATCTACCTCGTCACTCTCCTTCGTCTGCATGTTCTCATTCTCTTCCGCCCTTTTCTCCCCCCTCTGGTTCGACTTCCGCTCTTCGTCCACTTCGTTCTTCCGTTTCCAACCCCCTTTCCTTTCAACCTCTCTGCCGTCCAATCACATCGCGTCGTCCCTCGCCGCTATGCTCAAACCATCCCGCGCCCGTGGGATCGCCCGCGAGCAACGGTGCAGCCGGGCCGCTCGCGGCCTAACGCGCGCCTGCGCCATCGTCTTGCAATGGGCGATGCAGGCGGATACACATGGGGTGGCGCGGAAGGATGGTGGGCCAGCCGCAGCAGCGGCTGGCGTGGCCGGGAGGACGGCCATGATTGGTCAGCGTGGGGTTGGAGAGAGTGGCGACAATACGGGAACACGCCAACAGAGGACGCCAAATGGCGCGATGGCCCTGCCGCCGCAGCAGCGGCGGCGGTCGCGCCTCAACGGCCGTCTCGCTTCGCCGCGCTTGGCGTCGTGAGCTCCCGCGCTCCTGGTCTCGGCATGCCCGAATTCGGTAATTTCGCGAGGGTTGCCCTCCGAAACTCAGCAGAACCTGGGGGCACAGTTTCAGGAGAGGGGTCGGGATCCCGAGCCGCGCCTGCGGCGCAGGAGCCCCGCGCCACCGCAGCGGCGGCGGCGCGCGGGCACCAGGATTTTGAGAAGTTTGATGTCAATTATTGTTTGAGTTATGAAGAGAGGCTCGGCACTTCGTTTAAGCAACACAACCAAGCGTTGAAATGGTGGCGCAACGTGAAAGAAGACCCAACTGCCCCGTTCGAGTCAGAAGCCAAGTGGTTTGACAATGCGGAACCCACCATGGTCGCTGTTTGCGACCACGGTGCGAGAACGAGCTTTGGTTTCAGAAGCGACGAGGAAGCCCCTTGGCGGTGGCAAGAGATGGTGGCGACGCCCAGGGGGGAAGATGTCAGGGAGGTCGCGGGGGGGCCCCGCAGCAGCGGGGCTCTGATCGGCTGTCCCCTCGAAGCCCGGCCAAACAGCTACGACCACATGCGCCAGAGTATTGCGCGCGCGACAGTTCGCGGGGCAGCGGGTGAAAGTGAAGCTGCCGATGTGGGATTTCGCGTTGCGCCGCGACGACGGGACATGCGCCCGCTTACACCCGCACTGGGGCGACAGGAAGGTCGAAGCTCTGCCCCTCATGCCCCGCGCGGACGCGGTGAGGCCACCAGCCGCGGGTTTGGGCGGGAGCGGCGGGTCAGGAACACATCGCTGGCACGAGGACCTCGGTGTGGAGCGCAAGGTCAAGTTCGACGCCGCCAGAGAAGAGGGGGGGCCGACGCCTTCTCAGGGGCCCCGCAGCAGCGGGGCCGCGGCGCCCAGCACCGGGGCGCCAGGGTCCGGGCCCCGCAGCAGCGGGGCCTCGGCGTCCAGCACCGGGCCCTCGGCGCCCGCAGCAGCGGCTGGCAAACCAGTAGTTTGGGGACCGAACAGCTCCCCAGACGATTTGGTTGTGGATTAGGTGGCTCCGCAGCAGCGGGGCTCGAATGAAGGGCGCGTTGCATTTCGGCAGGGGCGCGCGCGTCGGCCTGCGAGATCGGGAGCGCGCGCGCAGGCGCCGTTGCGCGATCTTCGTTCTGAAGTCGCCCCTCTCCTCCCTGTCCCCCCATCCCGCCGCCCTCAACGTCGGCTCCTCGCCGCCCGTTCCTCGTCGCTCCACGCCTGTTCGTTCTCCTCCAACTTCCTCTCCCGCTTCCTCGCTCTCTCCTTCTCATTTTTCCCTCCATCCCATTGCGCCCCTGGCGCCCCATCGAAGTTCGCAGTTCGAAGTTTGAAGTTCGGAGTTCGAAGTCCGCAGTTTGAACTTCGAAGCTTCGCACTTCGAGGTTCGATTTTCGAACCTTCGTCATCTCGTCGTCGCAATCGTCGTCCTCGTTCGTCGTCGTCGTTCCTCGTCGTCGTCGATTGTCGTCGTCGTCGTCGCTCGTTGTCGTCGTCGCCGTCGTCGTCGTGGTCGGCGTCGTCGTCGTCGGTCGTCGTCGTCGCTAGTCGTCGTCGCTGGTCGCCGTCGTGGTCATCGTCCTAGTCGTCGTCGTCGTGGTCGTCGTCGTCCTCGTTGTCGCCGTCGCGGTCATCGTCCTCGTCGTCGTCGTCGTTGTCGTGAAACGCCCCACGTAGGAGGAGCAGAGAAGGGGGAAAGGAGAAATGAGCACGGTGGAGGGAGGAGGGAGGATTGAACAGGAAGAGGAGGGTGGAGGGGGAGGTAGAAGGGATGAGGTAGTTCAGAAGTGGGAGCAGCAGACTGGCGCAATGGGGAAAAGCCATTTGAGCGCAGGGAGGGATGGCAATGCGATAAAGTGAATCCGCAGCCGCTGCAGGCCCGCCCCCCTCCGCGCCCGCCCGCCTCCGCGACGGGAGCGGCCCGGGGCATGGAGCAGCAAGGCGCGACTGGAACCGCGCAGGAGCCTCTGCTGAAGCCTCCGCAGCAGCGGGGGCTGCCAGAGGAGGCCCCTGAAGCAGTTCCGCAGGGACTGGCAGGTTCAGCACCAGCCTCCGCAGCAGCGGGGGTTGGGGCTGCAACGGACGTTGGGACGTTCCTCTCGTCGATGAGCGCTGCCCAGGAAACCGTTTCGCGGAGCCTGGCGGTTGCTCAGAAAATGATGGGCAAGGGCGACATCGCGCAGGCGCGGAAGTTGACGGTCGCCGCCAACGCCCTTGCATTCAAAACGGCGGCGCTCAACACGACGCAGAGCAAGGCGTCGGCGCCGGCGCGGGCTCCGCAGGCGGCCTCCGCAGCAGCGGGGGCATGCGTGGAGCCAGCCGCCGCCGCAGCGGTAATCCAGCCTGGACAGAACGCCGCCCGCTCCGAGGACCCGAGACCGAGATCTCCCTGCGCGAATAATTGGCAAAAGCGGCAGGGTCTTACCGCAGCAGACAAACTGTGGGACTTGCGAGCGCACGGGCGCGACAGCTCCCCCGCAGCAGCGGGGGCCCGCGAGACGCAGCCTATCGGCCTGACCACCAAGGCGCGATCGCCAGCGCTTCCTGTCCACCAAGGCGCGAACGCCGACGAAGAGGCCCCGCCTCTTGTCAGCGGGGAAGGCCGCCCGCGCTTCCCAGAGGAAAAGCGCGGCCCGAGCCGTTCCAAGCCTCTTGTGCCGCTGCTGCACGACGAGGCAGACCAGGTGCAGAAGGGGCAGACAGAGGCGTGCGTGAACTTGGCTTTTGCTTCTCTCGTCCTGCGCGCGGACGCTGCCCTGCCGGATTGGGTCGCAGCTGCCAGGGGAGGGCGCGAAGGGGTCCTCTTTGTCTCGTTCGAGCCTGGGGCGGACATCAAACGCGACCAGCGGAAGCGACATCTCGACGCGCTGATCCGCCAGAGTGGCTTCTACGGCGCGGTCGCGGACGAGTGCGTCGGGGCTCTCCTCTGGACCCCCGAACGCGTCGAGAAGTGCGAGGAGCTTGGCGTGCACTCCCACGGGAAGTTCTTGTGCCAGGCCTGGTCGGTTGTCCTGGCAGAGGGGGCCT